AGGGCGGCTTGGACGGCCAAAAACTCTCAACTGGGCGGGGGTTCATATCCCAGCCTCCTCTTTCTCCCCGATTTGACCAACCTGCCTGAACACTAAATTAACCAGCAAGCCCCACCAATTTCAGGAAGTTCGAGAATCACTTCTTGGTTGGTTCTGCTCCGGACAGAACCACAAATCTTTTTTGTGTGTGTGTGGGGAGGGCTCTGCGTCAGCAACATAATTAACACAGCGTAGCCTAGGAGGCACTGCCCCCCCCCCCATTTCTGCCACTGAGGGTCAAAGAGGCTTGCTACAGCCCGGCCTTGGATAGAACAAACGCCCCAGGGAGGTAGAACAAGCCCATGAATTGCTCAGAAATCTCTACGGACGGCAATTCTGCGCAATTCAGTCCCCCCCGATCCGACGGGCAGAGTAACCTGACTCAAGTTGCCACCTGAACCTTCGGAGGTCTTTTCTTTGGGCCTGCGCGACTGTCGTGCAACCCGCTCTCTCGAACAGGAAAGGAAACGAAAGATCGAAGAAAGGGAACGGCATCCAGGAATTAGGACTTTGCCCCCCCCCCGTTTGCCCCGTGTTCCCCGCACCCCTCCATTTTCTTATTTTTCCACACGGGCCAGCATGGATTCAGTAGTAAAAGCAGAAGGCCTGAGTTTGACGTTCACATGACAGTAGGAGCCATTGCCCACCCTTCCGTGGATGCAGACGGGGCAAGATTAACAGAGTGAGCGTTCCCGTGGCCGGACGAGGAGGCAGAAGTCAAAAACTAAGGTGTTTGTGGGATTCGGGGAGCCGTTTTCGCTCCATCGGTGGCACAAGATCACAGGTTGAGGTCCGTTTTCTCCATCGCCCCCGTCCTGTGGAGAAGGAGAATTGTCCCGTCATGTCTGCGCCCCCCGGGAAAGGCGAGAGGACCTTAGGACTCCGAAGACGACCGTGAGACGCTCTGGACTAACGATTTGTATATGGCTGAACTCAGGAACCGTGGGTAGGAGTCTCTATGCATGAGCGTGTAGATCTGTAGCTGCGCGTCGTCGAAGGTGTGCGGGGACGGCTCCTGCATCTTGCAGTTGATGCCTTCGCGCACGCGGGAGTCCAGGCTGACCTGAATGGCGCGAGCGAAACACACACACACACACAAAAACAAAACACCAATTAGTGTAGGCGGGGTGCCGAACAACAGAGGGAGGAAGAGAACCGGGGTAGGAGAACAAAAGCTTGACTGGGGTGGGACCCGCTTTCTCGAACTCGTAAACTCCAGGCTGGACTGCTGTAATACACTGGGTGCGGGGCGGCCCCTGAAGACAAGCTGGAAGCTTGGGTGAATCCGACACGCGGCAGGCAATGTTCCCTCTCAGCTGTGGAGCCTTGTGAGCAAAGATTCTACTTTGTGAGCTCCTGGCATTAAAGTTGTGAGCGAGCGATTTGGCGACTGCATAAATTAGTTTGCTCTGGAGCCCCATCCTTCCTGAGCTAAGGCAAAAATGTGTGAGCTGGAGGCTAGAGAACTGTGAGCTAGCTCACACTAACTCAGCTTAGAAGGAACACTGGCAGCAGGGCCCTGTTTGTTAAGAGTGAAAAACTGTTTCCCACTTGCAGTGCAGCTACCGAAACAGCTGCACTGGCTTTTGATCTCCTTTGTGGCTTCCATGCAAGGCCCCCGGCACTTCCTTCGGAACACGGAACCCCCACACCCGAGGAGGCTCTGGCACACCCACATGGCAAATACACGCTACGCCGCTAAGGGAGCGGAATGGAGCTCCTGGCTAGGACCCGTTCTCGTGTCTCCTCTGCTCTGCCTTCTCAAAGGCCCGTGGAAACTTTTCTGTTTCAGAAGGCATTTGCCCCACTGCAATTTCCGTGGCGGTCTGAAGGAAGGGTATTTTACCAAAACACAAGTGACCTTGTGGATTACTGTAAATTGGGCTCGGTGGGGGAAGGTGGCTAGAAAGGTTTTAAACATAAATGGCAGGAGGAGAAGGAAGGAAGGAAGGAAGGAAGGAAGGAAGGAAGGAAGGAAGGAAGGAAGGAAGGAAGGAA